CTGTGTGTGCAGGTTTGGAGACACGTCACTCCAAGACGTCATCAACATGGAGAACATGACTCGGCTCAGTTCATACTACGATCAGTTCAAAGAAGTCCTCCCAGAAGACTGTGAGTTTCACACAGTCAGGAATCTGAAATAACAAACTCTTTTTTTCCCTCTCCTGATCATTCCTCCTCTGATGTCTCCTCAGGCCTACCTCGCTCCCGCAGCACCACCAGCCTGGCGGAGCTGCTCAAGCTGCTGAGCCAGAATGTTAACGCCAAGAAAAAYAAAAACGTAGAGATCCTGTGGCAAGCTGCCGAGGTGCAGTCGATGATCATTTTTTAAATTTGTGCTGCGACAAAATAATAAGAAAACACAAAAGAGATCTGTCTGTTTTGTAATCTGCTTCTTTAAATCTTAAAGGTTTGTCGACGCTTGAACGGCATGCGCTTCACCAGCTGTAAAAGTGCCAAGGACCGCACGGCCATGTCTCTGACCCTGGAACAATGCCAGATCCTGCAGCAGGAGCACGCCATGGCCCCACAGGTCTTCTACCAGGCCCTGGATTGTATGCGCAGGTCAGTTCCTTCATATTAAGCTTCAAAGTAAAAGCTGCTCGTATTAAATTAAAAATAAAAATCTTCTGTATCTGCACAGTGAGGGCTGCAGGAGAGAAAACACCATGAAGAACGTGGGGTGCCGAAAATATGCCTTCAACTCTCTCCAGCTCAAGGCCTTCCCCAAGCAGTACCGCCCTCCGGAGGGGACGTATGGGAAAGTCGAGACATAAGTGGACTCMTTTCTAGTGACAAAACCAAAAGACTGAATTTAAAGATAGACTGAAAATTAAACATTTTAAATAAGAGAAATATCAAACTGTACACAGTTTTTGTGCTATGTAAACGTTAAGATGATTTATGTCAAAGTGCCAGTGCTACCATAGACTGTTTCATAGCAGTTTCCCCGTCACCTGTTCGTAGTGCTAGAACTGCTCACTTTTCACAGCCACGATCAGTGAAAATGTTGCTTTCTGTGTCACCACCCTCTCAGTGTGCGGACCACGTTGTGTCTGTACCAGCTGTAGCACCGGAGGTGGGGGTTTAACAGCCACTCTGGATCTCAGTCATTTGAACTGTGTCTTAGAGACCACATTACAGCAAAAAATAAAAGCACACATTCACACATTTCTGGGAAATAGAAACAAGTGAAATTGGAYGGGGAAAAATGTGTATTTATTTGTCTTGCATACCTCATGATGGGGAAATTCTCATTGTACCATCACAGTTTGACAACAAGAAAGATACACACTTTGAGAAAACTGTTTATCAGTTCAGACAAATGGATCAACATGTGGTCTGAAATGCGGTTTAAGCAAGAAAACGCACAGATAAGCTCGGCTGTATCACCATTATAATATGTGGTWAGAATTTGTCAGCAGATCAGCTTATTTACAGAGACAGAAATACATATGCAAAGAGTCAGCTGTAACAGAAATGATGTGGATACATATTCATAAATGGCTGTTTTTATTTCATGCTGTGGCATTGTTAGGTTCAGGAAGAAACCGAGTCTCAATTTTACGACTGTCACCATACAGTAACAGAAGCCTTATTTAACTTATTCATCTCTGAGCTTTGTGAGCAAAACTGTTGCATCAAATGACTTGTTACKTTAATCAAAATGTTTGTTTCTGTGCAGAGCACATTTGTTGCGTACATCAACAGAGACAGGTTTTCTTTTAAGCTAAATTGCATTTGTTTGCATCTTTAACAGTTTTAAAATAAAAAAAAAGATTTGAAAACACCAGGGCAAAAAAAAAGTTTTAGGTCTGTTTAATTACTGGACAATCTTTAACGCACTGTTATTATCATAGTAATCCATTTGACCTGCCATTCAGGCCTTGTTTGACAAAACAAAATGTGGTTCTTTCCTAAATTCTTGAAGACAACGAGGCTTGCTAAAAAAAATGGCATTATCGTAGGTTGAGAGATTGGGACAACATCTAGTCCAGCCGATGACAGTGCAGTAGGCCTATACAAGAGCTGGTTGAGTCACCAATGAAGAAGAATAAGTTCAATACTCATAGTTTGCAGAACAGTCACTCAGACAGCTGACAGGATATTTTATTGGAAACACAACAAACATTAGTCAGAATACAAATGATGGGACTAACAGTAAACCAGCACATATAGGGGTCAGAGGGAATGAAGCAGCAGACAGAGGAGCAAAAAAACAACAATGTATCAAATCAGCTTTACAATTTCAGTAAGTAAATCAGAAGTAAGAATACTGTCAAACAAAAACTGAAGGAGCAATGGCAAAAACTGAGAAGAGGACAACAAGAGGGGGAAATAAGAACGGGAGGAAGGAACAGAGAAGAAACGTAATAAGCAGACTTAGATTTGGACTCATTGCACTGAACAACACATTAAAAACATGATACAGGTCAATGTGAGCACTGCAGACACTCACACACACAAAAAAACAACTGAACATGTAATTTAGTATGCCAGAGGTATAAACAACACAGAAGATGGAGAAATTGGGAAAAATAAAACAAACATATAATCAAAGGTGTCAAGTAACTCATTACAAATTCTTAGTTACATTACTGAAGTAGAAATTTTGCTTTAGTGTAGTGATTATTTTTCAGCATATACTTTCATTTTCGACTTCTACTTCTTACATTTTCATGCAATTATCTATACTTTCTATTTACATTTTAAAAATGCAAAAAGTATTTCATTTCTATTTTACTTTAGCTTGTTTGTATTTCAGCTTGTCATTGTTCAGGCAAACTATCTGTACTTTATTTACATTTTAAAAATGCAAAGAAGTATTTCATTTCTATTTTACTTTAGCTTGTTTGTATTTCAGCTTGTCATTGTTCAGGCAAAAATAAATGAATAGAAATCTATCCAGATACATGGAGCCCTTGGACAAAGTGAGTTTGATTGTAGTTGGATGAGAAGTATATATTTACCACACCTTACTGGATTGGTGGTCCGTCACTATGGAGAGCTGTTTCATTCAAAATACAATAAATAAACAAATAAATAAATAAATAAATAAATACATAAATAAGTATTTCATTTCTATTTTACTTTAGCTTGTTTGTATTTCAGCTTGTCATTGTTCAGGCAAAAATTAATGAATAGAAATCTATCCAGATACATGGAGCCCTTGGACAAAGTGAGTTTGCTTGTAGTTGGATGAGAAGTATATATTTACCACACCTTACTGGATTGGTGGTCCGTCACTATGGAGAGCTGTTTCATTCAAAATACAATAAATAAA